CTTTATCGTTCTTGTATAATGATATGATTAATATCGCCCGGGCGGTTAGGAAGGTTACAATAAAAAGTATTAATTTTCAGATCATCTATAACGAGCGGTCAATAATATAATTATGCAACTTATGCTAGTATATTTCCACCGAGCGTTGCAAGTTGCAACTTTGGGTTTTGCGGAGGTGGTAAAATAAAACAAAACACTTTTGGGGTCAAGATACAAAGTAGACGAGCGTAGCGATGCCAACAAATATTGTTTTAATAAAGAAAATATAGTAAAAATATCAGATAACGGAAACCCACAATATTTGCTAGGATGCTGTATGGGATGTGTGGGGCGTAGCCCCAGATTTTTTTTGTATAAGCTCCGTGCATTATTTGATGCATTTTAAAATGTTAATATGTTCCCATTCCCGGCAGATCAGACCATTTCGGGCCGGCCCGGAAAAGGTCAGTCCGCCGCCAAAAGGGAGGGGGGGTGGTGCCTAAATTCGCGCCTGAGGATTTTGTTTCAAATATTTAATTGTCATAAATGATGCGGCTTGCCTTCACACAATAAACATTATCAACCTTCAATGTAGGCAAGTAGAGTGGATTTGGAGCTATTTTTAGTCAAAATTGAATTAAATGCCAACTTATGATGAATGCAACCTCAAGTAATTATATTAACAAAACAATGCTGTTTCAAAACGCAAGTTGCATACCAAGTGTACTTGCCAACTCTCTATTTAGGAGGGAATCTCCCGATTTTGGGCCCTTATATTCGATAATTTCGACCAATTTGTCAAACTATTCCTACATTCCTGGATCTAATGGTGTTATCTAAAAGAACAACCCCAAACATAGGTGGTGGGCACGTCTATCAAAAAAAAAAATTGAATATATAAAACTAGTTTTATATATTCCTTTTTTTTTTTTGATAGACGTGCCCACCACCTATGGCCGAATTAGCGTGAAAACAACCGACACTACAAATAAGAGTTGCCTCCCTTACCAATTTCACCAAAAAACATTAAACAAACAATTTTCACACTACAAGATAATTTAACACTCAACATGATACAAACTAAATGTTTAATTTTAAAATATCATGATTTCTTAACCCCCAAAATTAGAAATATAACCATCAATTGTTTTTAATTATTTTTTTAAAAATAACTATGCAAATATCCGTAACCTATCGTCACCTAATACAATTATTCGTTTATATGCTAAGATTCCATGTGAACAACTCATACTTACCTGGTACAGGGGATACCGTGATCATCCAGGCGGTTCCCCCAGGTCGAGGCCCTTCCATTGCACTCCGGTCGGGCTGAACCCTGCGATAATCCCAAATGCGGATTACTCGGGTACGCTATTTTTTAGTGTGGGGGTCTGCGTTCGCGCTAACCCCTGACCATAACCAATTAAAGAAGTATTGTTCTCTCTCCTCTTTTCCACCGAGTTATATTATCAGCGAGATGCAGAGGAAGGAATGAAATCCCCCGTTCCACCCCACCTGTTTGGCTTGTAAACTTCCGGTTGTCAAATGCAGACGCCACCAAACCCATCCAAAAATGTCTTTTGAAGCCTTTGTCAGGTATATATCTGTGAATCTTGACAGTTGTCAGTAGTGGTGAACTTCAAATATTAACGCTATTAGCTCAAAAGCTTAACAATAACATATAGTAAATGATTTAGTTGTGTGAGTCCTTTAAATAGCCATGTGCTCAATGAACCTGACCTTTCACACATTTTCTGTGTTTCCAGACAGTTTCTTTCAAAAACAGCTACTGTTATGTTATTGGGTCTTAGCACATTTTGTTCAGTATGTGAATAGATAACTTGATAAAAGCTTCAAAATTAGGTAATATCTGGGCTAAATATGTCTCTGTGCTAAATGCTTGTATAGTTGAACTGACCTTATACTCAGGTTTAACAGTACAACAATGACCTGTGTACCAGGTTTTAGCATCTGATAGAACAGGTGCTGTCCTGCGCAATTATCAATCCCTCCATTCAAACCACCTCTGGCCAATCATTCTTAGGCCACTTTTCTCATACAAAATATATCTATTTCTATGTTCAAAAGACAGCAATGACTAAATTCAAGTTTAAAAGTTAAATATCTTAAAAACACACACACTTGAAACTCAAATAACCTGTTTCAGCATACCCCATGTGTAAAAGTACAACACATATTTTAGTACAAGTTACATAGTAGATTAGAAGCATATTTTAAAGGACAATTTTGCATTTAGCACCATTTTATTGTTCGATGTTATTAATGTATTCCTTCCAAGTGTATGCGAGTTGTTAGCTGGCTTCTGCATGACGCTGTGCTGTCATATTTTCATATACAGCCTTCCCAGCTTTGATAGTGTTTTAAGTAGAATCTTATGGTTTTTTTTTATCATAGATTGCGTTGTGTCTTCATAATTGTAATACCGTGCACAACAAGACTATGAACAGTAAGTAGCCCCTCAGCACAACTGAACAAGCTAGTACAAAAGTTGCACATGTGACTTCTATATATGTATGTGTCACCTATAGGTATTTTGACCAAATCAAACTTAAATTCCATTTTTAAAGTGAATTTTAGTTTTTTTATATTCCTGTCATAATATATACCTTGACACACATCTTATTTATTGATTTTATGTGTTTCTGTTGTGTGTTTACTCAGACAAGTAGCTGTTTATGGCATTACATCTTCCCACCGTCAACATTCTCCCTGTAAAGTGGTGACACCCCAGGGAACAAGAAGTGCTATATGTATGTCTGTATAATTGATAACTTATCAGTTAAGATGGATACCTTTAAACCTTCCATGACTTATGGTTTGTGTAGAATTATGGAGTTTTGTGTATATTCTAAGTGTGTTAAATTGTTAAAATTCAATCAAATTTACTAAAACAGAATATTTGATGACTTCAGATACTTTAAAAATTACAGAAACAGAGGTGCCAAGATTTCTTTAAAAAGATATGTGAGTGGTACATGTATGTGAAATAAATGTGTGTTCAAAATATAAAATTGCTAAGTGTGTGCTTAATTGGTTTGCTAGAGATTAATGTTGTGTAAATGTTATGAGAAATGTTTGGTGCTGTCTCTGAATAGCAGATGTACATCAGGGGCAATAAGTGGGATTTTCTTCATAACTTATTGTTTTATTTAGACAATTATGAAAAACGTTTTATAGACTTGTACTTATAAATCAATTATTTTAAGCTTATGGAAGGAACTTTGAGAACAGGTTAATCCTATCTGCACATATGCTGAAGTAGATTTTAGCCACCTTATGATGTACATCTACGTCTTAGTAAATTGTAAGGAAAGGGCGATTATAATGTTCATGTTACTTGTTCCCAATCCTTTTGCTTAATTTATGGTAATAACATATGTTTAAACTGAACTGAAGTAGATGCGTCATTTATCAGAATGTATCGAAACTGTATTGGCACTGATTTCAGTCAATCGAGATGAGTACTGCTATCAAGAAGTCAAAATCCCTGGTCAAATTCAAATTAGGCTTTTTGCACAGACGTCATGTACACACTGCCCTTTATATATTCAATTATATGCATATTGAGATAAATGTCTTCTTACTGATTTTATTGTGGTGATTTGTATGCTTTTTTACACCCCCCCCCCCCCCCCATAATAGGGGGTGGTGGGGGTGGTGGGGGTATTGTGCTGCCCATGTCCGTCCCGTCCCGTCAAACATCAAACACTGAAACTAATTTCACATGATGACGGGGACATTGATATCTTACAGACAATTTCTAGTTTTATCTACTATAACTTATACTATTATCCATGTGCTGTGAAGCGCTTTAAGGTAAATCATATGGAGCGTTGTGTAATTGTTGTATATTATTATTATATGATCTCACTTTTACAAACAAATGGAAACGTTAAAACGCTGTGATGCTCTTTATTACCTTAACATGAAAATAAGTATGTACATAATGTTTGACATATGAATGATATAATATGATATACAGTGTAAAGGCAGAATAATGTTTACATGCATAACATATATTTGTAATAACTGAACACTTGATTAATCCACAACCATTGGACAGCAATGAGGTAAATTAATAAAGAGGTACATGTACAGTGTAATGGTAATACACACTTACATATTTGATAAAAATTTACGTGCACTTTCCGATACTCTATATTTGATAATGTATTGTCAGTTCTGTCTTTTCGTATTGCAGAGTTATCTGCTCTTGTGAGCAGGTATTGATTGTTACGTCATTTGTTTGTGAGAGTAGCGTCATCAATTTTTGAGAAAATGACGTAACAATCAATACCTGCTCCACAAGAGAATATAACTCTGTAATACGCAAAGACGGAATATCCGTCTTTGCGTATTGCAAAGTTATCTTCTCTTGAGAGCAGGTATTGATTGTTACGTCATTTGCTTTTGAGAGTAACGTCATCAATTTTTGGGAAAACGATGTAATTTTCTCACACAAACCAATGACGTAACAATCAATCCCTGCTCTAAAGAGAAGATAACTCTGCAATACGCAAAGACGGAAAAGCTTTGATAATCATTTCGAAGCGAAAACCATACCTTGAGGGACATTTATGAAAAATGTTGAAGATGAAATAAACAAAATGTAATCAACAACAGTGTTCTGAATGTAAAACAACAGCGGGGCTGAATTTGGATCTAACTCAGGACCTCAGGCTATACTATTGCGCTAACCGACTGAGCTACCTGGTCAACGGAAGTGGCCCAACCGGAAGTTAAGGTGCGATAAATGTATATACGAAAGACCACAATGCAGTGGGACAGGCGTCCTTAAGTAATTAATATTGACTACCATACTGCCTTGTTAACATTGAGCACATGTGAATAAGGCGATTTTAATTCACGAGAGAATGATAACAGATCTATATATCCTTTACTTATGTATGTTTAAATGATCAATCGGTTAATTACAGTATATATGAGTATATAATACATCGCCTAATTATATTTATTGTTATTGTAATATTCATTCCAATGAGTTTTTCCAATGTATTGGTTGAGCAGGAATGATGTCAATGTAATGCCAGCCAAGCATTATCTGTAGTTGATCTATATTATGACTTTCGGTACTACTCCTTCCTGTACATGCGCAACGGAGCTCTAGTTGCGTCACTTGCCCTTCTTGGAAATTTTGTTGTGACTTCCGCGGCGTTCGCCTTTGGTGGACCGGAAATAAGACGAGAGTTCTCTTCAGCAGAGTGCTCGAAGCAGCCAAAGATGTATCGACCGGGCCCGTATTTTGTCCGCCCCAACAGGAAGTTGGCAAAGATTTGTTCGTACCCATCCAAGGTCAGCGGGTAGCGGCCATACTGTAACACACACAGGTACAGGGAATAAACTAGGTATACATTATCAAATATATAGCTTCAATTCAGGCTTATATAAAGTATAAGGATAGAACAATGCTTCTGTCGATTTCATGAGGTGATGAAATATGATGGTCATGAGGGAAAAAAATAATAAACTGCGCAGCACAGCTTTCCAACTTGAATTTTTCTCAGAATCAACTAAATTCACCACTCCATTTATCGACTAATGCAACGTTCTATCCCATTACTTCAAGGAAACCTATTTATTAAATCACTGAAAGTCTAGACCTAAAATAATTATCCGATAGTCGTTGCTTGTTAAGTTGCGTTTTGAAAATAGTCATAGAGACCCACCACATATTTGTATGTTATGGTGACAAAGTACGTTGACGTTCGATTATGAACAGATATAAGATATTACTAGGAACAACGTAGGAAAAAAGCGGCTCGGGCTTGTCTTAAAAAATAACTAAAACCAATAGGAAAACAATTAAGAACGAATTAACGACATTCCCAACTACAATATAGTTTTGCAGGTTGATATAGTATGATCCAGTTTATTCATTCCTGTATCGGCTACTCACGTCAGTCATCTCGTTGAAGGCACGTGAGGCTAGTTCACCAGCTTCCGCCTCGGGAATCTTTACAAACGACTCGTAGAACTCCCGAATCTCCTGTGCGTCTAGCACCCCGTCATCCTTCGTGTCCATGACCCGGAACAGTGACCTCGGAAGTAGGCGGAGCCAAATAGGGAAATTATGCATGCTCATACATCCGGGTATCATATGTTCCCATAGCAACATCCACGCATCCAGACCAATCAGATCTAAAAACGTAATTACACAAAACATCCCATGACTGTCTGGATTCAATCGGTTTTTTTTTTTTTTTATATTTCAATACATTTCAAGTTTAAACATGAACTACTTTGTGACATAGGTAGTTATTGTTTACCATCAATGACTTTGTAAACATTTACCATTAATTACTAAATATCTCATGTCAATATCTCATAATAAGGAGATGTGTCGCGCTCTGAAATATCTAATCATAAACCTTATAACATACAGGGTTACGGCCCTTTGTACATTCCTGATATCTCATTTTTTGGGAGGTCTGGAACTAAGGATTGCTCACAATTTTTTTATTGTTTTTAATTTCAGACACAAAGAAATTGCAGACAAAGAAATCGTTTTGTTTAAAACAATTATGAAAAAATAACATTTTGAACAAATATAAATCATTCTTGTTAGCCCGGATATAAGCTCGCGGGGATATAACGTGGGAGGAAACTAGTGTAGCCGGAGAAAACCCAAGTCGTTGGGCAGGTGACCCCATACCTTTTCATGTTCGATCGGAGAATCCAACCCTGGCAGCCTTGCGGAAGACCATATTAAAAGGTGTGCTGCGCCAGAGAGTTTAAGTATAATCTGGCTCTTCAGCAGTGTTATATTGATAACTACTGTACGCATGTTGTGTGATAATAACGGGTTGTCCTGTGTACATGTGCATATGTATGCATTCTATGACACGACATTTGGCATCTCGCAACCAGCATGCTGCCCGCCGTCCTACATACAGATTTATGTAGGTCTTTTCGTCAGCATTCAGTATAGACATAATATCATCCATCTTTCATCTGTCTTCTGTATAACCCAGCCTACAGATTTTACAATTGGTTTATAATTATCAATTTATTTAAATTTTTAATTGCTTCTTAATGATTATGATCGTCACCAGCTGACTGAGGAAGTAGAATCTGTCGGGGGAGGAATTTTTACAATTTATCAACGTCCTATGATGAAGAACCTCACGATAAAAGACGAGTGTCTAAACGCTAGGAATGGAGGTAGAACGATTGTATAGTAAAGGAAAGAAAGTATCGAACTATTCTTGCTGTTAGTGCTATGGTATCTGTACATGGCTTTTCAATGTCCCTGAAGTACAGGACCGTCGATCAAGCACAACACTAGATATATGGACCCGTGTTAATAAGCCTTGCTGTCGCTCAGGCTAAAATTCACAAACACATCCTCAGTCTCGAGTTCAGATTCTGGGCTCAAGCCCAATCCGTTGTTTCGGTGGTAAATTTTTCAAATAATTTATTTTTCCAACCATTTTTAAACTTTAAAGAGACTTAAAGGGTTTTCAGAGTCGAACACTTTATTGTTTGACTGTTTCACATTATTATCATCTATTTTTTTAAGTTGGATTGATAACATGGCCTGTATTCATTAATCTTTTCTCATGCTCAATCATGGATTTTTTGCTCAAAACAGTAAATGGCTTAAATCCTGGAAAAAACAATCCAATAGACAAATATAAATATTGAAAGCAGCGTTCGGCTCTTAATCATCTCTTCAAATGTTTCCAAATCATTGACGAAATTTAATGTTTTTGTTAATTTATTACTAGAAAAAGAAACAAGGCTAAAGCATGAGAATGGTTTAATGAATACGGGCTCCGATTTCATGATACGTTCCAAGGTAAGAACAATGCATCTACTGTATACCTGATTTGATGTCAGTTTTTTCGTGCAGCACCTCAAAGAATGTCTCGTGCACTTCATAGAGTTCTGTAGCAGCTGTTGAGTTCTTCTCCCACCCTGTGTAGTCAATGATTTTCTGTAATAAACAAAAACAAATTTTCTTCTCATATCAATTCCCTCTTCCAGTGTACGCATCCTCACAATTCCTAACGTTATGTCACTTATGCTCTCTACTCCCCTGGAATATGTTGTGATGAAACCGAAGGCTCATTAAGCGCTACCTTGTGGATGATACAAGTAGAAAAGCTTTATCCTTCGATGCAAAAGAATCTTTCGGCAGCGTAACGGAAAATTGACCGGCTTTGCTTCTCAATAAACCTTTAATTCTCTTATAACAATGATGTTTGTTTCGACGTATTCCAGGGGTAATCGCTATGAATGAACCAGTGCTTTTTCAGTGTCCAATACTTAATAGTAATTGTTTTCACTGTACATAACTTATGAGTCATTGTTTTCAGTGTGAAATACATATAAGTCATGGTTTACAGCTAATGTAATTGCCGATTGAAAATACATTTCGAAATCTTTGGAATTTCAAGACATATTATTTAATCACTGTTACATTTTTTTCTTTCTTTTCTCTCGGATAGTCATTGCCCATTGTTTTCATGGTTTATACTAACATCCATATACGGAATAATAACATTAGATTCACATATCACGACTTTCGGAACCTCGCCACGTTTAAGTTTGTACACATTATTACCCCGTGGTGTACTAGCTCCTTTATGCTAATACTCATTTGTTGTTGTGTTGTCAGTACAGAAATTCTTTATGTAAGTATTGACCTCAACTTACATAGCAGGTGTCGTCGTTGGAGCAGGAACACCTTGTCTTACCCTCGTTTGCAAAAATATCAACTAAATATTTCCTTCGTTCTTATCTTGCCCTTGTCTTATTGAGTTTGAGTTTCAAGTGCGGTTATGTTAACCTCCTGTATTCTCCTTTCGTTTTTATGGACTCCGAAGCATACGAACACTGTATAACTTCGTTTGTGGCTATGATTGTGACCTAACAATATCTCATGGACACTAGATACAGATTTAATGCCGCCATTCTGCATGTAGCAATCATAAAAATCAACAAATTACTTAGGACACAGATGATTCGAAACATATACTGTGAAAGCAAAGGCGATGAAAGTGTAAAGTCGTGGCCTCAAGACCTCTACATCATCCCCCCCCCCCCCCCCCGACAATCCCTGGCCAGTTTACAAAATAATGCATAATCTTTCAACAATTCAGAGACATTGTTACTTCAACAGTGGCTACGTGTTGGCCTATATATATTATTAACCCAAAACTGTGCGTTACAAAAGTCAGAGTAAACACCTCGTAGGGAACATCGGACGACCCTCGTGAGGCTTTAGTGCTCTTCAATAGTCAATGTTAATTGTGGATTCATGGCAGGACAGGCTTTTTTATATTAAATTTTGGATTCAAACTATCTTGTAAATAGGATGCTAAGAAAAGCATTTCATTTTATAATTTCTTTGTCCTATTTCTATAATCTATCATATGTTAATATACCCTCTCAGAGAAAGTCATTTCATTTTATATTTTCTTTGTCCTATTTCTATAATCTATCATATGTTAATATACCCTCTCAGAGAAAGTCATTTCATTTTATAATTTCTTTGTCCTATTTCTATAATCTATCATACGTTAATATACCCTCTCATTTCAGTCAGTTACAACTACCAAGCGATATTTTGTGTCAAAACAGTTACGACTCGTACAGATTTCTGTTTCAAATCTTTGATTTTTCATGTTCATTTTTTGTGGACCTTGATATACCTGATCATAAGCTGCTGTCATCCCTTTCAAACTGCTTACTGACTTAGCTTTATATCTTACGTTTGCTCAATCGAACCAAGTATATCATTATTAAGGTCAAGTTCGTGACAAAACAAATAATGAAAACTTGTATTACATTTTTAATAATGATATCCGTATCTGTCTTCACGTTAAATTAATATTTTTATATTCAACGAAACTAATTCATTATAACCATTATTTCTAAATTATAACAAACTCATGTTATTGTATGTAGTTGTAAGTTAAATCAATATTGAATAAATACGCTCTGTATAAGTACAGTAACAAGTTGTTTGCTTAAATTTTTTAAAATTTAGAAGAGCAAAATGGCTTTAAGCTTTTATTTAATTTGAAAGCATAAACTACCTGGGTTAGTAATGAGAATAATGTTAAAATAATATTAGCAATACTTATACGTTGTTTAACGTCGTTTTACCGTGTTTTTTACTTCAAATTGTCGAGTGATCGCCAGAATTGTCAATCGCATAGAAATTTATTTTTGGTAGAAAAACAATATTCTTAATTACACATGAATTCGTTTATACTATATTATCAGTATGTTATATACTTATACACATGACATTGACTTCAAAGGCTCATTCCCATGAAAGGAAAAGTGGTATGATGGGAGTCACTTTTTATTTATTGCTAATATTTGGTAACTTATAACCACAGTGTACGATAATAACATGTTAATATTTTGTGTCTATCCTCGATATAATAGGCCCACTAGAAAAAATACGTTGGAGAGGAATTTCGCTTGTTTTCATCGCTCCCGTATGTCTAAATCAGTAGAAAGTCTTTATTTGACCTACTTTTGTTGAACTTAAGTGTACAACCCCAGGCACCATAGCCTTAACATTTGGAATATTTTCGTACAGCATGAATTAGGCCTATCGGCATTATGGGCAAGTCTCACGATCACAGTTGTTGATGTCCAGTGTCCAGCCCAAGTGACTGGCCGTTACATGATTTAAACCACAATATATACACAGCATGACCTTGTTATTGAAAGGGACTTGAGCATATACAGCTTAACCTCGTTAAGGGTTTTAGATTATAAAGAGTAAATTATTTATGGACTTGGGTATATATACAGTGTTGGTTTGGTCTGGATTGGTTTTGTTTTATTTTACGTCATATGAACACCTAAGGTCATTTAAGGACGTGCCTCCATGTGTTTTTTGTATGTCAGGATTTGTGTATGTCTGCCGAAGACAGGGTATTTTTGTGTATTTGTCTCCTTGTGATAGCGCAGGTCTGATGCCGAGTTTATAATGCTATCTCACTGAAATACCACGGCATGGCCCCAGCACAGCAATTCGTCCGGGTGAACCAGTTGTCATTTAACTGAATGCTAACCGTTTAGCAGGAACTATAACCTCGTTATGGACTTTATATTATACAGTGTAACTTCGTTATGAACTTGAGTATGTAAACCGTAACCTCGTTACGAAGTTAGGATTTTACATTGTAACTTTGTTTTGGACCTAGTTATATATAAACTAAAACACCGTGGAATAAGGAATAGAAAGAAGACTTTTACTCATTTAAGGGATACCTCTACTATATTTCGAAATTTGCGGCGGTATTTGATGAGAAAACTGTCGCAAATTGGCGACGCGGATTTATTTGTTACGGCACAACCTTACCTTGAATAGAAGTGGCAGGTCTTTTTGCATCAGATAACCATCGCCGTCGACATCTGTGTTAAAATTAAGACATTTATTGATATAGAAACGTGATCCAGATATACCAAAGTATAGGCAATCGTAATTTTATATGTCTATATTTACATAAATATGAATATATATACATTTATATTTGAAACCCAGCGACACTTTACTTCCCCACTAACCTCGTTTTCATCCTCGAAACTCCTGTGGTTACGCTTACTTACGTTTTCAGCACAACGTCACTCAGTGTAACCTTGGGAATTTCGAGGACAACCCGTCTCTGGACTCTTTCATTTAGACAGAACAGACTGACACTTTTCAAATTTGACTTCGTGGATGTTTGACTCCACAAGGAAATAGACTAGTAAAAGAACGCACCTGATCATTTCAAATGATTTCAAACCTCCAAGACTAAACCCCTCCAACGACCGGCTATCGGGGACAGAGATAGGAGAGGAATGCTTTTCTGTAAGTATTGCGGTCGTGGGATATAGTTTATAAGTATAACAGAATACATATGCCAGTGATCAGTTCACATCTCTAATCGATCGGTTGGTTGGCTAACATGGTAACCTGAGTGGCCGATATTCCTGTTATATATAAAACCCTTGCCGTAACCATAGTCTTATTCGGGACGCGCTGAACTGATGTACTTTCCACGATGTCAAAGTCAATGACTAGAATGGCTGGGGCCAAAACATATAACGTGGTTCACACAGGGGTCACATTACTGCTACGTATACAAATATACGCAAGCTCATACACAAAACTGTTCTCGTGTGTCCAGTCCGTATGGTCAAGGACTGAACCCTTCAATGATTCGGTGGTTCTCCTACAGATATATCTAGATTGTCCCCCTAATGCATGTCAAGGAAGAGTCTAGCTTCCTGTTACCGGTATTTATTAATTAGTTTGAACATTTTAATGTAAGTGATCCCGCCCCAGGAATCCAAATATCAACCTAAGTGTCCGTGTCTATCATTGTTTTTTCAGTTATCTAACGATTGAAATGTATCTGTGAATGTATTACTCGATCCATCGCTACGAACCCCTCATTCGCAGCTCTAGACACTAGTCTAGTCTCTAGAATGTTATTAAGAAAGAAGAAAAAAAAGGTTTGATCACTTGGATGTCTGACTTCGTTCTCACACTAAGAGGAGATAACCTAGTAGTAAAAACTCAGGGGCTGGTAGCCAGTCTACCCCAGCCCATATAACACACAAACAAACACTACACATATGAGTTACCGAGGCTGTTTAAGGGTTATTACTCCCATTAAAATCGAGTTCACAAGTGTTTACATAAAATGTTCATCAGTGCATTTACCTATGTGACCTGGCGTCTCCTCAGACACCAAGCCTTCTATTACTATATACGAGAGATAGATATTGAAAGCAATGTTTAATCGTTGTAATATTTCGGAAATAATGCAATTCATCACAATTTATTATATTCTTATAAGTTCAGTGCATTTATAATGACTGTATATGGAAAATACGAAATTTTTACCAGTTAAGAAGGATCCCGATGAGAAATTGAAAAATATTATATATGATTGTGTAAGTCGTCGCAGCAAACATAACTAAATCTGATAACGTTTATTTAATCGAGCGATTTCTGTGAAATTCTTTCAAAGTTGTACTTAACCCAAAACGATTAATTTGAAAAACAAATCATAAAATATATTGCGATTTCAAAATCATAGTGAAATTTCATATAATTAGACAGTCGAGGTAATACATGCATTTCATTAGTTTTGCCTACCACTACGTTCCATCAGTACATGTTTATCTTTAATTTATTTTTCTATGTGTACATTTGCATGTTTTATGCTTGTTGAACTGGTAAATCTTACTGACCAAAAAACTTGAAGTAGTACTCGAGTTTTTCCCTTTGGAATGGTGACAGCTCGGCCGCATGCCTCTCTGTAAAGTAAATATATCAATCAAGTTCAATTGACTGGTCTCCCAAATACAAGCTTTCTTCTCTTGAAGGAATAATCCAGTAACAAACTGTTTGTCATTCGAGCTTTTCAACCTGGATTGATAAATAACACTACTCCACTGGTACACAAACATGTTTACGTTCAGTAACAGTTTGGTAGTGAGCGTTTACATTTACCGCTATACCTTCTGACACAGCTGTAAACATCGATCCACAATACTTTCTGTTTATACATGTAAACTATTGACATTTTGTCTGCTTTCATCAATACTTGTAGCAGACACCAACAACACAACTACACCTACCTCACAACATCAGCAAACATTTTGTGTCTGTCCAATCTAACAGAAGCTTTAACATTAGGAATTATGATCGATATGTAAGCAATTGGTATGAAATATATCTGTTACCCTAAACGAACAGAGGACTACTATATATGATCACGTGTGGTCAGTCCTCAGACTCATGAGTTTGGTTCGTAGATTGTTTATTGATTAAAACAAAAAATGTTTTAATCAATATAACTTCATGTCAATCTTATTAAATCATATCTCTTATTGCACTTCGTTCTATGTGACAGTGCAAAGAGGGATGTGAATTTCATAAAAAATGAGCTTGTATACATACAATACAAACCATAAACAGCGCGCTTAACGAAACAGTGTATAGAACATGCCTGAATTTAACATGTTTCTATGGGGATTCTAAGTAAAATAGTACGTACTACTTCTGGTGTACAAAATCAGAACCAAGACGCTTAATTAGCATAGCAGACTACACGGGAAATTACCACATGACACATGTCTCTTTGTACGAGTTTCTAGCATAATAGTACTACTGGAATTTAAGTACATTACGAATCAGAGCCTGGACGCATAGCATAGCAGACTACACAGAACATAACCACATGAACAATAGCAGCAGCAACAGTCATGACACTTGTCTCTTTATACGAGTTCCCCAAACGGTTTGGTTTTAATATAATTATACTACTCGAATTGATGTACATAACGAATGAGATCCAGGACGCTTAAAATATTTTGCTAAACAGAAAATAACCACATCTACAATAGCAGCAGTATGGCCATGAAGCATGGATCTGTATGAGTCCCTAGTAGTAGTCGGTACTGTAAGTATGTACTTATACTGGAATTAATGTACAAAGCAAATCAGAGCCTGGACACATAGCATAGCGGAATAAACAAAAAATCACCACATCTACAATAGCAGCAGCAAAAGCCATGAAACATATTTCTATATACGAACTCTTATTGTAATAGCACGTAATATTATTAGTAATGTACGTACATTACAAATGAGATCCAGGTCGCTTAGCATATAAGACTTCACAGAAAATGACAACATCAACAATATATCAGCAGTAAAGTCATGAAACATGTTTGTATATACGAATTCATAGTATAATGCTACTTCTGAAATGTACGTACTATACAATCAGAGCCTGGACACATAGCAGAGCAGAAAACACAGAAAAATGACCAAATCAACAACAGCAGTAAAGTAATGAAACATGTTTGTACTTCTGGAATGTACGTACTATACAATCAGAACCTGGACACACAACATAGCAGACCACACAGAAATTACCAAATCGAAACAGGTTTCTTTACACGAGTTCGAAATATAATACCGCTACTGGAATTGATGTATATTACAAATGAGATCCTGGACGCTCAAGATATCTAAATACACAGAAAATGACCACATCTACAATAGTCATGAAGCATGGATCTGTATGTAGTAGTGCATCCTAATAGTGGAATCAATGTACATAGCAGAGCCTGGACACATAGCATAGCAGAAAACACAGAAAAATGACCAAATCAACAACAGCAGCATAACAATAATAAAACATGTTTCTCTACAAACCTTCCGAGTTCCTAATTGATAGTTACTTACGTACTACTGGAGTATCAATTCTCATAATTCCGATTGATGTTGTAGACACTGGATATAAAGTTCCACTGGTCAAGTCCTGGTCAAGTCCTGGTCAGCGTATGTATAGCGCTGTGTTGTTTACCACTGTGAGCTGTGTGCCCGTGACCTTTGTCCGTGACTGATTGCGGTATTACGGCGCTGCTCCGCGTCTTACGGAGGCAGGACACACAGAGGCGGGGCAGACGAGTGCATATTGTAACCAGAAAAGAACCTTACTTTTATATTGGTGGGTAATTCAAATTAACACGAGTGCTAGTGAAGTGTTCTTTATCTTATCCGCAGGTACTAGCCTCGTATGTCAATACACCTGTACTATAAACAAGAGTGCTTACTCCATCGCTGTAGCAAAATGACCCTTTGCCAGAAAACATGAGATTATTTCATAACGGTTAGTGATATCACACCGGGAGCGGCTTTGACAGGGACACATTTTGTTTTAATTGGATAATATCATGCAGTATATGGTTCGGTAGACTTGATGAAACATCACAAACGGTCGGCATTCAGTTGGTCGGACACTGTTTATAGTATAGGTGTATTGGTAGACGAGACTAGAACGTGTGGCTCACATACACATACTGATGACGAAGTTTAAGCAAGTGTACTACTACTTGGTGAAGGTATATCTAGATACGTTAGCAACGTCTTTTCAACAGATCATGTTGGTGTGCATTCTCAAAGATGTTAGTGGAGGCTGTCTTGCAGATAGACAACATAAAAACTAACATCTTCGAAAAGTTTACACTGGCATAATATGTTGAAGTTGTTGTCTGATTTGGATATACCTGTAAGCTTTGGTAGCTTATTAGTCCGTGAAACGTCACTTAAAAACTCACTCAAATCTGTTCTTGACTGTTAATATATTAAACGAATGTTTCAACTCAAACATTACCCTGCATATGAATACATCAGCCTTATAATAGTTAAAAACTACTAATAGAAAAACTGCAGAAAAGAACATATTCTAACACTATACATAACACCAAAAACCTGTTCTTTCAACTAATTACACTGAATCAATCCAAGCAAATCATACATATATAGAGGATCTGTCACAAGTTTCCCTTCATGTTAGATTTATTATACAAGTTTTGGATTTTCATGTTTGCGAGCCTCCAAAACGAGTATCATACATCTTATATGAAGGGAAACGAATGACATATTCTGTTTATCATAAAATACAAAGTAAACTGTATAATTGTGACTTGAAACGAATATTTTGTACTTGGCCGCCTCAGAAACGATGAAAATTGCGTCCGCTTCATAATGACGTGACGTCATATTTATTGTTCCTATTCGATTGTGACGTCATTTCCGGAGTGATATTACACACGTTACTTAAGGATTAACTTGAATATACTTTTCATGTTGTGGAGATATGACACAAAAAAACCGGAGTGTACTCTAAATAAACCGCGAAGCGGTTTATGCTGAGAACACACTCCGATTTTTGTGTTATAGCTCCATAACATTGAAAATAAATTCAAGTTAATCCTTATAATTGTGTCGCCTGCGAAAAGCTGGTGACACATAGGTATTGCTATGTCGGCGTCGGTGTCGGTGTCGTCGGCGGCGTCGTCCGCACAGAGGTTTTCGTGCAATAACTTGAGTTTCCTTGGGCCGATCAAACTCAAACTTCATGCAGTGCCTCCTATACCAAAAGTGCTTGCTTGGGATTGCTTTTGAGGTCCAAAGGTCAAAGGTCAAGGTCACTGTTACTATAAATAGAAAATCTGTTTTCGTGCGATAACTTGAGTTTCCTTGGGCCGATCAAACTCAAACTTCATGCAGTGCTTCCTTACCAAAAGTGCTTGCTTGGGATTGCTTTTCAGGTCCGAAGGTCAAAGGTCAAGGTCACTGTTACTATAAATAGAAAACCTGTTTTCGTGCGATAACTTGAGTTTCCTTGGGCCAATAAAACTTAAACTTCATGCAGTTCGAAGCACAATCTCCCAGCATCCTGCGCAGGCGACACATCCACTTCCGTGGAATTCTTTAATCTACTTTACACAATCCCTGTGGAAATCCACTTTTATTGATGGACTCTTTTCTCTTAGCCAATCAAAAGCGACGTTACAAACGGCGACGTCATTTTTTACGTTATGGGGTGATAACATATTTTTTTAAGCCAATGAAAATGCTTGTAACAAGCAAGATTGAATTATATACACAATTTATGTGATGGCTTTATGAAACTGCATAACACGGTATTCATATGATATTTTTTTTATTGAATGATACTTACTCCACATACTTAGAGCCGTTCTGTGAAAATTTGGTCAGAGCATTACTTAACGTCTAAAAACTGCCACAACATCTATACAACCAACAGCCTCTTGTTCATGTAAAAAAAAGTATTGCTTGAAACGATTTGCTCTGAAAGTTTATGATTATTATGTAACATGTACAACTTTAACCAAATAAGTCGCTCACAAGACCAACATTGTCCAACGTGTTTACATCCAACTAAAACTAAGAAAGCCCCACGATAATATTGCCAGAAATGAAACCCTGCTAAATCTTCGAACTTGAATTGAGATGCCGGCGCTGATGACAAAGGCTGACACCTATGTTGTGGGCTGCATTCCCCGCCCATATTCCGTTAAAAGGGCAAGCTAAAACGAATGATATAAATATTGCTTTATCCTGGTTCTTTTTGGTATTTGAGACAAAACAAAACAAAAGACGGATGACTTTAGGAAAATTCTCATGATTGAACAGAAGGTTGTAATCACGATACCACGATGCTGTGCGGTTGCGTGCTAGGTATGATTGTTTTAAAACCGATCGATTCGGAATGTCATCATCACGACTGCTCCGGTGCGTGGAAAACATGCAGAATCAGAGAAACTGTTACATTTTTGGTTTGAATTGGTATTATTTTGTTTAACGTCCTATTAAAAGCTAATGTCATTTAAGGACGTGACTCCATGTGTGAAGTGCATTTGTGTTTGTGTGCCGGAGACATGGTATGTTGTTGTAGTTGCCTCCTTGTGAGAGCGGATCTGATGCCGAAATACCATGCAAAGGCACCCAGCACAGCATCCCACCCTGTCACATCATACTGACAACAGGTTAACCGGTCGTTGCCATTACCCTAAATGCTGAGCGTTAAGCAGGGAATCACAACTACCATTTTAAAGGACTTTTGTATGACCCGGCATGGGAACCCATTGCCTTCCTCACCTGGGCGAACGCTCAACATTAAAGACATACGTAAGGTATTCTCAAGCAAGGCGCTAGGAAATAAAAGGTAAATAGAAGTAGAAAGAAAGACAAAGATCACAAATGTTGTAATGGGTGCATCAGATTTATTTTGGTCACTTTTGTATCCCAAAGTAGAGGGCACAAAAGCAAATCCCCAATTCTGCAGGGAGTGGTGGTGGTGGTGGTGGTGGTGGTGGTGTGGGGGG